CATCAAAGGGAATGTGTAGTTGACTTTTCGATGTTTTAGTTTCCTTACTAGAATATGAATTTGAGCTTTTTAAACATAACAACTTTCTAAAGCTCTGGAAGAATATTAATTATAATTCGCTATTGAAACATGCAGGATGATACTTTACCTCTTTAATATTCTGGAAGATAGAAATCAGTGACTCAAGAAGAGTTTCGTAATCCCTAGCAGTCGTACGAAGATTCTCGTGCGTCTGACGAAGTCTCTTCAGGATCTCGTCATCGATTTGTACTTCACCTGATTCGGAATTTTTGTTAGAAATTTAAGCAAAATTGAAAGTATATTTCGCCATATATGATCATGGAATTAGCTTCAATTTAGTTTGATTTTGAAATTACCTTCCTGAGCTAGAGTATTAATTCCTTTGATCCTGAAATCCAACTCGTTGACAGCTTTGTTCAATTCAGGAAGAATACGATGTTTCGATCCTGCTAAATCTTGAAGAATGCTCGCTGTTTGAGGAGACTGAGACGTTATCACTGGATATAATTGTTCAGTGAATTTGGAAACCCACTCCATTGTCTGGAGAAACAAATAGATACAGTTATTTCATACACAAATTGTAAAAACGTAGATTTCGTATCGTGGTGAAAGGAAATATCTGAAGCAAATATGTGTACTTACTCTTGTACTTTCTTCGACTTTTCGTTGATGCTCGATTCGTTTCTCCCTCAAAATCTCGATCGTGGTCCTCCATTTCTCCCACGATTCTGTTACAGTCAGTTGCCTGTTGGCAAACTTTTCCAAAAGTGTCTGCACGCATATGCATGCTCTTGGTACATCTAGATAGGGGTCATCGATCTGAAAAATAAGGTACACCTTTTACAAAAATCCTAAAACCATTAAAAAATTATAGAACTCGTGAAGTTCATATTTTTTATTTGTTCAATGTTAACACTCGACGGAATATTTATAAAACTATACGTGATATGAATATTAATATCTCAATTACTCGAATTTTTGAAAGTATTATAAATTTATAAAATTCATCTTTCGTTTCAATGACACGTTATTGACACCCAAGTTCAATTATTTAAATTTAATAATTAAAAGTGAATTTCGTTACCTTAATAGCAGAGTCCAAAAACGCTTTTCCAGCGTTCGTCAATTTCACGTAGAGCGGCTGAAGATCCTTCCAGCGTCTTCCAAGCTGCTCGATCTTCCTCTCGTCTAAAACGTCAGTGTGCCTCTTCAACTCGCTTTCGATCGATTCAATTTCCCTGGTCAGCTCCTCAACTACCACGTGAAATTGCAAATAAAGCGATCCCAGATCAATTCGATTCGCCACCAGCTCCTTCGTCTTCGACCAAGAATTCTTCAACTCTTCCACCTTCGACTGTAGCTCTAACTTTTGCTCCTCGTCGAGTCGTTCTCTGATCGGTAAAATTTCAAACTCCAGATGCTCGACTTCGTCGGTTCTTCGTTCGAGGTCGTTTAACAGCTGACGATGCAGCCGACAGAAATCCTCCGCCATCGGAACGTCGCTGCCCATGTCTTGGTGACCTTGGAGAAACGCTTCGGGTATACTCATCAGCCATTTTCTCAGCTCGTCGTGCTTGTCCAAGAACGTATTTATGATCCTCGATATCTCGAGGTTCTCCTTCTCGTGCGCTGTGCATTGTTCGACCAGACGGATCTTTCGGTTTTCTAACTCCTCCACCACTCGTTTCACACCCTGAGGAATAGAGACAGAAGCTTGAAGATCTGCATGATTAATAGAACAAATAATTTGTTGGTATTTCGGTGTTTTATTTAAACTGAAAATTTCAATCCTTGAAAATATACAAATTTTTTTTTTTTTTGTTTTATCATATTTTCGATCTTGAGCGTTTCACTCTTTGAAGAATTGAAACTTATTCGCGATATGCGAATTAAAATTTAACTAAACTAAATTGCTCGAGCATTGCTTATTTATTATTCAAGCGTCTTAATTTCACTAACTAAATTGAACTAAAATTTAAATTCTAAGCACGTCTATATTATTTTAATTTTAATCTCAACTTTATCTTGATTTTAATTGAGTATTTTTATATTTACTTTTCTGTATTAATTGCTGATTCGAAAATTCGAAATTTACACTGTCGTAGAAATTTAGATAAAAACTTCTCAAAATTGTAAAAGTCTCGAAATCTTCGAAAACTATGAATAATCCAGGCAATGATATTCTAAAATTCTTCGATTTCAATTCCACAGAGTTTGTAGTGATGTGAAGATAAACTGAATTACAATTGATTAGAAATCATTCGTTCATTCGAAGAATTTCATTGACTGTGCGTGCCAATCGCAATAGCACGTCGCAATTAAGAATCACGATTACTGTTTGAATCTAACCTCAGCCCCCGGCGCTCCTCTTCCTGTGACATCCAGAAGGGCGTATCCTTCCGCCAAAGGTTTCGCGGTGACGTCTTCGATGGTGGCGACCGTCTGAGCATGGAAACGAGCCAATTTCGTCGAGTACGGGGGATGCTCCGTCGTTACCAGCTGAATCTCCAACTGATCTAACTTTGTAATTGCCTTCGAAATGAAAATTAGGAATTCCAATACATATACTATGTCATATATTTCAATGTACATTAGTACTGCTGTTTTTATTATTGAATACGTTTTCCATATTAGTAGAATATTCAATTACGAATAAAGCATACGAGCATATATATATATATATATTTTTTTT